TAAACACACACTAAACAATTCCGAGAAACGGACAAAGGAATTTTTGTAAACACAATGACGCCGGGGGGCCGTTCGGCAATACCGAAGTTCAGTGTAACGAGGGAAAATTCTGAATCACTAAAAATGCTCTGATAAACTGTTTAAAAAATTATTTCACATCACAAAATCACTTGCACTGAGTCCCGCACTTTGTATTGTCAATGTTCCCAGCCGGCGTCGGTTTTATGCACTCACTAGTACCCCGATGTTAACGAATTTTCACTACGCGACACGTGACCAACCGTTCCACGCAATGCCACCGAACGACTGACTCCCCACTCAAAATGGCGGGGCGTTGAAGGCAGCGCTCGAGTGAGGGGTCGCCAGGCAATACTCCGCGCATGCGCACAGAACACCGCGGTCAGTCTCAATTTGACATGATAAGATAATTGTGAAAATGCTTAACCTAATAAATAATTCTCTCTAAAAAAAAACAGTGCAATCACGTAAAATCCAATAGTCAATGAAAAATAATTGATTGAAGGGAATTTAGCGTGTGGATTTTGGTCCTGACCATCAAAAACACTTCGATTGGATCTCTGCAACGGGAATGGGAGTATCAGATACATTGAATTACGTTCTGTTTTCTAATGCCGTCAGCTCGAATGCCGGTTTGTTTGCGAAAACTGCTGTATCAGCTGTAAGTCGCTGTTATTTTTTAATAAAAAATTAGAGGAATCAATTTATTTATTGTTATTGCCTGATTTTTGGAGACTGGGTAATGCTTCTATAGTTTATTCTATTTTTGAAACTTTGAGGTCATGTAGATACCATACAGCGATCAAAATTGTTTTTTTTTTTTGACATTTGTTAATTACATGAGGAATGAATATCCATAAATTTTTTAGGTTATCAATTATTCAGGCCTCAAGCCCCGTGTTGAGTATAAACTGGTTCCACCTGAGCCTTGTGGAAATCGGCAGCAGCCTCAGGGCCTAATTTGAAATTGGCAGGACTCAGTGGAGCAACTGCAGTCATCCTCGGGGCATATGGAGCTCACAGTGCAAATTTTTTTTATTTTTTCAGTCATCGGGTCCTTATATTCTTGATTAAGAATTATTTACATGATTAAAAATGTTTTCAGTCATTCGACGCTAGTAGGATAAAATGGAAGGATAACGAACGGAGAAAATTTTTTTCATCATGTATTATTCAAATTTATTCGTACATAGTAATGGTAAGGAATGGATTGAGACTACTTACGAGAGTATTACCATTTGCGAAATAGATGAAAAGAATGTAATTTTTAGTGAAAGAGGCAACAGGATTTTATGGATTACACCTCGACATGAAATATCAATACAATTGAAAAATGAAATAATAAGGGTATCCATAAGAATGATTTTTATCCCTTCATGGGGCTGAAAATAGTTTTGAGAAAAATTGAATGATTCCAGTGGCGAAGTTTATTAGAGTTCATGATTATTATGACAAACTGTGAGGGACTTGCAACTGAAAGATATTTGCTTATGAATTTCGTATACCAAGTGCCTGCTCCAGCTCCGCTCTTTTCTGTTGTACTTTCGTGTAGAAGTAGCGACAAACAGCCTCTTGTGCCCATGGTTGATAATAAAATTCAGCTCTCCTCTCTTCTTCGGGGTTACCAACGACATCTGTCATTGTCTTCAAGTCTCGTGTCTGAGATATTATCCATTTGTTGATGAATTGTTGAGGGTCCTTGGCAAAACTGAGGAAAAATTCGCGATTTGTTTTTAGTTGATTGATGGTTTCAACGGTCTCATGAATTTTATTGTCGAGACTCTGGATTTCTTGTTGACTTGCTGTCGACAGGAGGAAATTGTTCATTTGGGTTTTCAGGGTGTCGTCTACCTCGACGTCTATGTCGTAACACGCTGTCTGCTTTGTCTCTGTTCCTGGACATGAAATTTGAATAATAAATTAGAATAATGAATTCCCTTCATCAATTAAATGATAAATGCAAATGAGTTGAGTCCAATATTCTATTAATCATTGGTTTATCTCGAAAACTATTAATTTGCAGAAAAAGCCCCTTGATGTTTTACATCTGAAATCAATAGTTCTGTAGATACATCGATATTTATAGAAATTTGGTCTCTACATTTTAAAGGAATTTAATATACCCTCAACACTGATGACGTGATTTATGACAATTGGATCTGGTGGATGGAGGAGGGGATTCAATCTCTGGGGAATCTCAGCGAATTTCATTCGTGGACAGGCAAATATTTGCTCCAGATACTTGTCGCAGTTGATGAATTCTCTTTCATGACTGTCTTGCAGCTTGTGAGTCTTGATGTATTGCCACAGAGCAGATATTATGACTGGTCGAGTCTGGGTGTGAACTCCCAGTAGACGAGCAAGTCGCGGATCCAGTTTGAACTATCAATTTCATTAGAATAAAAATTCCCGTACAATTTACATGATTTTATAAATTTTTCACGATTAAATGTTACCTGTAGGGGCTGATAATCGAGGAGAAGAAGAATAGTGCAACGAACATTTTTGTCACCAGGACGTTTAACTTGGAAGCCATCAGTCTCTTGTGTCGTCAATGTACGATGCCATTCAACCAAGTGATTGTCAGGACCGTATAAATCCTTGTCCAATTCAATTACCAAGCTCTTGAAGAATGAAGAGAACTTGCGTTTCACCTTTGGGAAGTAGAAAAAAAAACTTGAATTATATATGATTAAATCTTTTAATTCATGGGAGGACACAATTCTGCTTCAATTTATACCTTGTTAGGGTCATTCTTCGTATCGTCCAACAATCTTCCTTCCACTCGAAGCTCCCATGATGCCACAGAGCCCTCCTCTCCTTCTCCAGCCTCTTTAGCTGGATAAAATGTATTGGATATAAATATCCTCAGTTTTCTCTTCTGCTTCATGGGACGTTTTAATGCCTCTTGAATGTCAAGACGTTTACGCATTATCGTAGCATCCAATTTACGTTCAAACGCTAGAAGGTCCATATATGCCTGGGATTCTGGCACGAGGTCGCGCACTTTTTGGGGTAATATTTTGTCAGCCAACTTCTTCTTCTTCTTTGATGTGGAATGTGATAAATCACTGTTCCAAAAATACCTAGATGAGTTTTTGGTGGAAAATAATGGTTTGAAAAATCAAAAGAAATTTTGAAACTTGTACAAGTGTCGATGTGTGATTGTTGGTGAATGATTTGATAATGTATAATCTCAAATGAATTACTGTTGGAGTTGCGAAATGATATGACCGAAAAATAAATTAAATAGAATGGAACGAAATTCAATGGAAATTAAGGGTAAAGTAAAGTTGAAATTAAACATAAATAAATAATAAATGATATTTTTTGGGTAATGGAAGGAATTTACTTACGGTTTCTGTTGAGACATGGGAATACGTTGATCACCACTTCTTTTTCCAGGGGGTGCAGGCATCGGGCCCTGACGCATATTGGAGTAGGGCTGATTGGGTCTCATTATTCCACCTGGTCCTGGACCACCAGAACCCATCTGAGGTGGTGGAGTGAAGCTGGATCTCGGTTGCATCTAGATAAAATTCATGTAAATCAAACTGCACGAAAAAAACTATTACTATTACCTTGATTTTACGCTTATCAATAATTCGAAGATTCTATTCTTCAATTTACCAGAAACAGCCAATTTTTTCTTAATGCCTGTTTTATAGCTCTCATTGTACTCTATAAAAGAGGTTAAATTGTTGGAATCAAATAATTACCGGGAAATTTGGCCCTGGGTACTGACGAAGATTTGGTGGTACAGATGGTGGTGGATATCTCTGTGGGGGTGGTCCATTGTTCCCGGCATTTGGGCCCGGAAATCTTTGCGCCATTTTTATTGAATGCCTGGAGGGAAAATAAACGTTAAAAACTTTCAAACAATTTTTTTTCAGAATTTTTTATTTCAATATTTTTAATTTTAATTCAACTTATTTAATAAGTTTTTTACTTCCACAGAATTTTGGCAAGCTGTTCATTTCAAGTGCTTAAAAAAATTATTTGAAAATTTCTATTCATCGCAATTTTCTTAATTTCACAGAATTGTAGATAAGTGTTTATTTTAAATTCTTCATAAGCTCTCATGGTGATGACACGATATAAAAAAATCAATGCTATTCCAAAAACGACAGAATATAATTGTGCGCTGGTGAGCGGCAGCTCGAGGCTCACCCCAAATAACCTATAAAAAATGGACAATATTTTCACCGAATCGAGACTTTTGCCAGTGATAAATCCACTCTTCTAAATTTAAACAGATATTTTATAGCTTACACATAATTACAAGATTTTTTTTTCTTATATTACGAGATACGCCAAAAAAATGTTTGCCCCTTTAACTGAGGCATCTATCCCTATTTCTTATGTCCTATTGTATTTCTCAAACCTGAAGCAATTATAACCGATTACTTACACAATAGAATATATGGCGCACAATAATTTATTATTTTACCGGCGAAAAATTCGGATGAATTATGTTTTATTGAGGGAAAATTGTTATTACAAAATTATTCGGCTGGGCAACGCTCATCGAGCAGCACAGTTCCTCCACGAAACACGAAATTCTCTAGATCTGAGGCTCTGGGGATAGCGACAAATTTTCCTAGAGTAATCCCTAGCTGGGTGCACCCCTCACGTCCACGTGGTGGTACTACGATGCTGGGGTCACTCAAACCAGAACTGAGCCTCTACTTTAGTCAATCCTCTTTGCATCCGAGGTTATGTATACACATGCTCTCTGATATTATTCATTTAACTGTGAAAAGTGGTTATAAATAAAACAAAAAAAAAAATGGGTAAAAAGGCGAAAATTGGAAAACAGAGAAAGGATAAATTTTATCAGTTGGCTAAAGAAACAGGTAAGAGTCTAATTGATTAATATACAAATCTAAAAGAAATCAATTGCTAAGTGTGGGCACGTTGTCATTAATGGAAAATTAAAATCCTCAATGCACTCTAAGGAGATAAAATCAATGGCAATTCTCGTTTTTGGTCCCGAAACGAGAGCATTGTAATCGTGCAGAAATAAGTTTTTGTTCTTTTGTGTTGAATTAATCCATTATGGTCCAAAAAGTTCGAAAATGCAATTTTTAGACCCTGTCCGTACGTATGTATGTATGTGACAAACGTTTTTTTCAATTTTTTGTAATTTTTTTGAATTGCGCGCGACTTGATGCATGCAATCAAGTAACTTTTTTTTTTAATGTAGTCACTATCGAGCTCTATCCATCGACATTAATTCAAATTCGTTTCGATTGGTATATAAAGTTGTTATACTATGTGACGAAGACGTGAACCCTGAATGATAAGTACAAGCACACATGAATAATACTGTCGATTTGCCTTCTCGGAGGTTGAAATTTCTGGTACAAATCATGGACCGGTAAAAAGGCAATATTTTTTTCAATGAATTCGTAGTCTCTTGATTCGAGTCTTGCTAATAATAATTGTATGAATATGAGAGCTTGACTGTTGATTTAAAAGCAACAGGAATTATTGTTATCCGTCAACATGAAAACCTGACTTTATCCGCCATAGTTGTTACCACGTGACAAGAATCCACTATTCCGCAATTGAATTGATAACGTAAAATTACGTGATAGCTACAATTTGTCGATATCTTTCTTTCGATGAACATTCGCAACAATCAATTGAAAAGAAAAAGAAAAACTTATGTTAAATTCCTAAAACAATACTTAGATGTTGCATGTTTTGCTGAAGATTAAAACAGACGCAGAAATGACTATTATTTCGAATGGATGTAGAATTCCCAATCTCGATAAAAAATGAGAAAAAAAAGCGAAAAATCAGTACATTGTTATATCAATTATATATTGCGAATAACGGTTTGGGAGCGAATTGCTAATTCATTAGTAAAAAAAACTATATGATATCGAATACAACAGCATATCCTACTTGTTTCATTTCTTTTTATTAATCTTTTAAATAAATAATTGAACTTGAAATTTCGCATTTTCTTTTAAACATATTAGTTAAATACTCCATTAAATAAGGTAAATTTTAGGTTATAGATCTCGTGCAGCGTTCAAATTAATCCAACTGAACCGCAAATTCGAGTTTCTCCAGAAATCTCGAGTTTGCTTAGACCTGTGTGCTGCACCTGGTGGATGGATGCAAGTTGCAAGGCAAAATATGCCAGTATCTTCAATCGTAATTGGCGTTGATTTATTTCCAATAAGGCAAATTCCCGGGTGCATAAGTTTAACAGAGGACATAACAACAGACAAATGCAGGATTGCTATATCGAGGGAATTAAAAACGTGGAAAGCCGACATTGTCCTGAACGATGGTGCCCCAAATGTGGGTAAAAATTGGCTGCATGATGCATATCAGCAGGCAGTACTAACACTGGCAGCTGTTAAAATGGCATCACAATTTCTCAGACCTGGTGGCTGGTTTGTAACCAAAGTATTCAGATCCAAGGATTATCATCCACTCATTTGGGTACTTAAGCAACTCTTCAAGAAAGTGCACGCTACAAAACCTCAGGCATCGCGTAATGAATCAGCTGAGATATTTGTGGTATGTCAGTATTACATCGCACCAGACAAATTAGATCCCAAGTTCTTTGATTCAAAGTACGTGTTCTCAGAGCTGGATATCGATCCTAAACATAAGCTCAATTTTTTCCATCCAGAGGCCAGGAAGAAGTCAAAAGCTGAGGGCTATCCTGATAATGATTACACTCTTCATCATTCAATAGCAGCAGCTGATTTTATTGCCGTAAATGATGGGCTCGAGGCCATTCAGACTGCCTCAGAGATTGTAATTGATGATGACAGAATTGGTAAGCATCCGAAGACAACAGCCGAGATTAGAGAGTGCTGTAAAGATATCAAAGTCTTAGGGAGGAAGGACTTGAGGCTCGTTTTGGCGTGGTGGAAGGCTCTGCATCAGGAATTGTATGATAAATGTGATGATAAAGTGAATTTGAATGATAATGCTGAGGAGAAATTTCAGGATAAGCCGTATGTTGATGAGGACGAGAGAGAGGAGATAGAGATTGATGAGGAAATTAAGAAATTGAGGGAAGAGGCTGCACGTGAATTGAAGAGGAAAAAAAAGAGAGTAAATAAGGAGAGGACCAAGTTAAATGAACGACTGAATTTGAAGATGGTGCACAAGGGGGATGAGGGGCCAAAGCTTGAGATTGACGATATGTTTACGCTCAAAAAAATTCAGACGATCGAGCAATTGGATTCTGTCACTAACTCAGCTCCAGAAGTGCTCGCTGATAGCGATACTCACTCTGATGATGAGGTAACATTACCAAAGAGAATGAAGTATAAAAAGGAAAATGGATGTCTCGACAGCTCAGGGACTTATTACAAGAGTGATGAGAGTGAAGTTGAGAATTCTGGCGATGATACAGACAGCGATTACTCTGGAATGGGATTGAGTTATGATGAAAATGAGGGTATATCTGGGAGAATGATGAAGGGTATGAAATCTGACGATGAATTTAATCCATTGGTCACTGATCTCGATGACAGGGATAAGAAGACAAAGAAAATTCATAAAGCTGAGCTGTGGTTTGAAAAGGATGTCTTCAGAGATTTGGAGAGGGATGAGGATGAGGATTATGAACTTGATAAGATGATGGAGGAGTTTCAGAGGAAAGGGGTAAAGGTCATTGGAGAGGAGAAGTTAAAAGGGCCGAAGAAATGTAAAAAGGATGGAGTAAGGAGCGAGAAATCGAAGAAATTGAAGGGAAATGATAATGGCGATTCGGATTATGATGTTGAAGAGTTCATATCATCAGAGAAATCAAGAAAAAAAGTGAAAAAAGTCGGAGGTGAGGATGGATTTGAAGTTGTGTCTAGAGATGCCACCATGAAATCATCTAAAAGAAAATTGAATGATGAGGATTTAGCTCTGGGTTCGTTACTGGTGCAAAGTCAAAAATCAAGAAGAGATTTGGTGGATGGGGCTTGGAACAGATATGTATTCAATGATGATCATTTGCCTGATTGGTTCGTTCAGGACGAAGAGAACCATATGAAGAAGGAGGCACCTGTGCCAAAAGAACTCGTTGATGAGTACAAAAAAAGGGTGGAGAATTTGAATGCCAGACCAATAAAAAAAGTTTTAGAGGCCAAGGGGAGAAAGAAGAGACGTGCATTGAAGAAACTTGAAAAGGCAAAGAAGAAAGTTGAGGCACTGATAGATAATAATGATATCAGCGAGCAGGAGAAGGCGAAGCAAGTTAAAGCGTAAGTTCTTTTAATTAGCTCTCGTAGATTTCGTGATTTGTGGTTCAGACTAGGAACTTATTATATATCATATATCATTAAATTCCCGGTAGACGGCGATTAATTCACGATCGAATTCACTAATGGCTATCCACTTTTCTAAAAACTAATCTTATTAACTGGTTTTGTTTTTAATTTCAGATTGTATAAAAATGCTATGAAAGAACCGAGGAAAGAAGTCACTTACGTTGTGGCAAAGAAAAATGGTGCAACAAAGAGAGTTGCGAGGCCAGCAGGAGTCAAAGGTCGTTTTAAAGTTGTCGATCCTAGAATGAAGAAGGATTTGAGGGCTGCTAAGTCCAAAGAGAAGACCAAGGGACGGGGTAAAAAATCTTGGGGCAAAATACCGCGTGGTAAACCCTTTGGACCTGCCAAGACAACCAAGGGAAAAAAATAATTATCAATTTTAGAAAGTATGAATTATTTTGGGTCAATAAATTACATGATTGCATTGTAATAAAAATCAAATATACATAAGCACATGGGATAAACGATAATTATTTAGTAGATTCACACCAGCATTTTGATTCCAATCCAGATCGGATTTTTTCTCGAATCACGTATGTTCACAAGTGTAGAGATTTAAATGGAACACCTATCGGCACGCGGCCTTGGCCAAACTTGACCTTGCATTTATTTCAAGCAACCCCCTCATATGAACACATGCGTACTCACATGTATGCAATATATAGACGAAAAAAATGATAATAATGTTAACTAATACTAGTTGTAAACTTGACAGTGGCCTCACCGAGTGAATACCTTGAACTCATCATGGCGAAGGCTTTATTGATAACAGCAATATAGTTTTTTTTTCCTCGTCATTTTTATTCATTTTCTTCCGTCGTTTATTATTCTCAAATGATACTCAAATGGAATTTCAATAAATTACAAATGGCATTCTCCTCATATTATTCTACCTATCTCTTTAACGATTGAAATATGCATGTTCATTGAATTATTCACTCGAGTTAATTATCCCAGCAAAACCCTCTGGCGATGATATTGCACATTGTTCCCGCAAATTCGATGAGCGTCGCAGTCAATTCAATTACATTCAATCACAGATAGTGAAAAACCGATAGAACTATGGGGATGGAGTGGAGGGTATTTGATTGAGGCATTTTTTTTTTTAATTAATTAAATAGTTAGTTAGTTGAACAATATTTTTGATTGTTTTAAATCCAATTTACATTTCACAAAATATTAATCTCATTGTAGAAAAGTATTTACCTTGAGAAATTGAACGCCCACATGTCCGTCGATGCACTCGATGTATGTATTGGTTGCAACCGTCAAAAGTGCACTCTGATGCAACTGCGTAGCGTCGGGACGCTGCGGTCGATGTCAAGGCCAAGGTTGACGATTGCAGTCGTCTCTCTCATGATTCTTCAACCCGGTAAATTAGCTGTTTTTCCAGCATGAGTTTCTCTCTCTATTGTGATAAAGAGTCAAACGTAATCGTGTTGAAATCATGGCTAATTCAATGAGCATTTATCCGGAAGTTTTAAGCGGATCAGGGCTCTTCGAGATTTTTCCTCCCTTCTCAACTCGCAACGTGTAGGCAAACTACGTCATTGTTGGCCTTGATTTTTCAACGCAGTTACCAAATCTTCACGACAATCTTCCAAGACTTTTTTATTCTTTCGTGTCTACGATATTACTGTAAAAAATGTTAATCACGTCAATTTGGGGAATTCATAGCTATTAAAAAATGGAGTTGAAGAACGGAAAGTTGAATCTTCTTGGTTAAATTTTTAATGCAGCAAAACATTGGTGGAGAGAAATCCATTATAGTCCGTAAGTTCATTTTCGGTTGTTAATGTTGCTCTGAAAGAACATTGTATATCTCACAAATTAAACATTTGTAAGAAAAAACCCGAAATGTCACCAGAAGCTTATGAAAATCTGTAAATGTGACTTTTTTTATTTTTCAAATCGAGCTACTCAAACGTAATTTAAACCTTGACAAACATTTATCCTTTGACAGTGGATTAAAATTCGGGAATTAGAATGGGGAAAAAAAGAAAAAATATCACCATTAGATTGGGGCAAATTCTAATGGTGACATTTTTTCTTTTTTTTTTTAAATCACTTTCGAAGCTAGATATCCAGTGTCTATTGCTCTCAAAAGTTAATATTTCATGAAACTTACCTTTGAAATAATATTTTTATATAATTGGCAACTATCACCACTAAATCTCTTCCTATATAAAAAAAAAAAAATTGATATTTTCAAATTCCTCGATTTTTCACTGAAATATCCGCTGATAAAGATCATTTTTAGCAAACTTCAGGGCCATAAAAAATTCCATGAAATTCCATAGATTTTTTTTTCCAAGGAGAGAAATATTTATTTAATATCGTTTGCTCAAAATTTATCCAGCATTTTTTAGCCTAGTTTCATACATGATAGTAAGCAGTCCGAATGAAAACTTGAAATTTGAAATTGCTCATATATAATTTTTCCCCTCACGGGTTTATAGAAACCTCAAAACATTGCCCTCAATCCAATTAAAAGTCTTCTCCCAAAAAACTGAGTGAAAATGTGATAAAATTAAAGATAAAAATAGGGATAAAAATAAACCCGTTGAACAGCAGGGTCATCGACAATTGTCAAGTATTTTTCCCCAAGTGCACGTAATGACCTTGGACCGGGTTAAGGGTGGACGGAGACGGGTGGCGGCGGGTAAGAAGGAGTTAAGGTCAAGGCTGATATAACCCAATCTCCCCCTCCGCAGGTACTTGGTGCTCAGTTGTCGCGTCATTCCACCAATGCAATTAAATTTCCCGGTGAATAGTGAATGTTAACGTTTCGTGTACATATGTCATTCTGGGTGCACATCGAACGGTATGCGCGCGTCTTCAGGTGTTTAGCGCGTGCGTCGGACTAAAGTAGTTTTTCCTCGAGCCATGGCCAAGGTCTCCACCGGTCACGGGCATGTTATTATATTGAAAGCCTCCAACGTTGACGCGCGCAGGTGCTACTGCTTTTTTTACCCTCAACTGTTGTTGCCCCCATTTATCCACTTTACATCATTTTTATTTGCGGATTTCCCCAATCCATAAAGGGGTATGAATCCAGGGTTTTAAAATAAAAAATTATTACATCTCAGGAGGATGATGCTTTTAGCGGAAATATTCCAAACAGGATTGAATGATAGGGTTGGGGGAGTCATTCCCCCCGACCAATTCCGGTAAATCAAAGTTGTCGGTAATTAATCTTCGGACTTGGGGGTACTGAGGTGCACAGGAACCTGTCAGAGTGATAAGCATTTTTATAGTTACAATTCCGAAGGAGATAGAAACAAGAGAGTATGCTAACTAAATTTGAAAAACTGAAAAAACTGACTGGAAATAATTGGTGGATATGGAACGTATAGGGGGAGGGCAAGCCATCTTCTTTAAAAAAAAATATATATATAGCGGGACGAGTTGGCGAGGGGTTGGCAAATGGGCGGACAAGTTCAAGGCCGTTGGGTTCTGCGGGCCATGTCCGGGCGTGCTAACCCGAATACCATTACCCAGCTGGCTTTTCCTCTCGGCATTTACAATGGAAAATATGATTTTTCATTTTCCAATGGAATTTGTGAATAACTTGGGGGGGGAATAATTTGGGGATTCAACCTGGATTTTCATGCTTTTGGTATATTAACGCATATATTTTTACTTTTGGTGGAAAATTTCAGAAATAATGAGTAATTGCATTTTTGCAAGTATTTTCAATACTTTCGTGTCGATGAATCGAAACATTTCTTCTACTATTGATCTGCTCGCATTACCGAATTTTTTTTTTTAAATATTCGATATTTGAAAAATATGATGTTTGGAGTCAGGAAAAAAGAGAAATATATATATAATCTTCTCTTATTCGTCGACATAATTTCACCCCTGTTTCCACATTGTGATTGGAATAAAAAAATAATAATAATTACAAGGAGGTAAAATCTATTTGCCCCTCTTTAGCTATTTTCCGTGTCCGCGTGGGTTGTGCATTCAGGCGCGCCAACCTTGAACTTCATCTCTGCGATTCAACTGACGTCACCGTCATCGATCTGAAATCGGCCATGAAAAAAGGGGTTGATGGGGCAGAATGGACGGGTGAATAAATAGTAAGCATCAGGACAGACTCCTGTATTAAAGTTACACAAAGCTTTAAAGCTTTTCTGTATACATCCTTTCACGTTTTGGCATTTTGTCATTATTTAATGACACACCAAGTTTCACTTTTGTTTCGAAACTTTTAAAACAAATCACAAAAGTATAGAAACAACACCTAAAAATGTTCACACCATCGCGAAACTTGGAAAGACTCGGCTTATGCCAATGAAGTGATGGGAAATATTCTCAATTGATGTATACAAACTCTTTCGCAATTGGCAATTGATTTAAACTTATGGAGGATGATGGATTGTTGTGAAGATTTTCAAGTGATGATCGAGGTAGATTTTTGTGATTTCATGATCGGTTAAACTTCATTCAGGTTCAGTTGACATGACGATTCTTTGACTTCTTCTCTGTGCACGATGTTAATAATAAAATCGATATTTCTCATCAATTAAAGCTCAATTTTCCGTACTTCACTCCCGTTACTTCCATCGATAATGCTCCCATTTAAAATTCTAGCAATTCAAGTAAACAAAAAAAAAAAAACTCCTACGAAGGCCACGCGCCAGTCTGTATTGCTTTATTACATTGTTTTGGGGGCCATCATCATAAATTTCTCCTGAAATCCCTTGTCCATAAAAACGATATCCCAAAGCCCCGATGCCTCGATCCCACCAGATCCGCCAGATCCTTGGATCTCTCCGAGGCTCATCAATATTCGAATTCACTGATCATTCATCGATGACATCGAATCCACGATTAATCATCGTTGTATAAATTCCCAGTGCAATTATCATTATTTATCCATTTAATGCAGTTGGTCTCGTTGTCCTCTAAAATGAAATTTTCCTTCCTCTTTAATGCCCCATCAGTGAAAATAATTACGAATTATCTCTCGTCTTTCCACTCATTTTTCCACCCACACAGCTCTCAATGGTGCAGAGCAAATAGAGGTATTATTGAAAATAAGAAAAATAAAATGAGAAATGTCACTCGAAGGCCGCAACCAACTTTATTACCGCAATTGTCATAAATTTTCCTTGAATCCATTATTTTCGAACAATTTTTAAGACCTCCTCGCAATACCAAGTGAATGACATTTTTCTAGGACTAAAGGTGGATACATTTTTTCAAACTTGCCGAAAAAACCATCATAAATCATGAATTTGGTGTTACCCCAGGGTTCGGTGACAAGAGTCTTGCGCAAAATTCGGCCTCTTCGTTATTCGTCGAAATTGGTAATATAACGGAGCTTCTGGGACGATTGTAAATCAATGGGAGGTCGTGAGACTTTGTCTGTTTATTTATATATTTTCATTTTTTCTTTCTCTTTTTAAATATAGCTCAGCGGGGCTTTTGGGACTAGTGTAAGTGTCGTCATCAGAACGTTACATAACAGTGCTTAT